TTATTGTGTGTATTTCCTCGTTCTAAAATAATTGTACATATTGAAGTCAAACTTTTTCAGTTGAATAAATAGTATGCTGTGCAATAAACATTATTAGATTAACTGTATAAATATATTTTTATAATAAACATATTAAGAGATACAAATGTCGATAATGTTTTATATAATCGGTCCTCAAAATACTCTCTGTGTAATTATTTTTGGCCAAGTGAGGAACACTGGTGCTTAGTGATGAGTAAGAACAATCATCAGTATGGCTTTACTTTTGCAACGTGTCCCCACCGAATTGTTTTTGGCCTGTGCTGTGCAGGTGACAGGGCATGTGGATGGGTCATCGAATCTTTTGCCTCCCATATTGAGGTAGCCCATGTGTGGGCCGCGAGCTCAATCATACACCCCTGATTTCTTTCTTGTCTCTTGCTTTCTTCCCTTTCATTTTTTTTAATTTGCTCCATCATTAAGAAACAACTAAATGTGTGTAGTCAACTGAAGTGGCAGCATGCACTAAAATACTACAGAGTATATGCAAGGCAAAGACACAAAGAGACAACGTTTGTTTAGGTGTGGATGGAATTGAAGCTCAATTTTGCAACTTTGAATTTGTGATGCAGAAACAATGGCAATATATACTTGTATGTTTCTTTTTTTATAAGTCTTTTTTAGAAAATAGAATTTCCCTTCTGATGGCATGATTTGACTACACAAACTGAAAAAGGTTAAAAACGACAGCTCTTTTTCTCTAGAGGATGCTACTACTCCATATAAGCTACTCTGTTACGATGCGTACCACCGTGTATCGGCGTACTATGCATTTTGTTCTTGTCTGCTCAGCGAACCTCAGCAACCTCTGCTTCTTTGGCAAATAACAAGACCAATAATACAGTCAACTGCTAGCTGTAAAAGTTATTTATAGTCTTCTCTCAGCCAACTCATATAAGTAGTTACTCACTTCGTCCAAAAAAACGCAATTCTAGCTCTGATTCTGGACACACATCGTGTCCAGGTTCAAAACTAGAATTGCGTTTTTTTTCTGGACAGAGGAAGTAGCTTTTAACTATTAATATATGATCCATTTGTCTCTCTGATAAAGTTTCTCGGTTCTTATGTCCAAATCAGTTGTAAACTTACAGTCCGCTTCTCCTCTCTCTCACTCTCCTCTCTTCTCGACCTTAGCATTTAGATAGCTTACAACCTCTTATTATACTTGCTCTTATGGCATGATTCGAACACCTATGATGAACGAACTTTTAGGGATGATGATTCACTTCTCTCCTTTTCGTCGTTTCACCTTTTAGGTCATACTACCCTGGCATTTCTTCTTCTTCTTCATTATCTTGTAATTGAACTATTGAAGAATTCAAAGAAGCTGTTCCATCACAATTACTTGGAGAGCCCTCCATCTGTTCTAAGAACAATATCTCAAAATAACTGCATATCTCGTTTTTTTTTTCTAAGAATCATTTTTTTAATTTAAGTACATCCATAACAAAAAGGTAGTAGTATTTGTGATGCATAATAAATAGTATTAGATCAATCGTGAGTTTAGACATATATTTTCATAATATATATTTTTTTTAAATGCAAATATTGATACTATTTTTATTATAAAGATAATCAGTTTTCTTTTTAAAAAAAATGGCTTCTCGAGAAGTGATGTGTGCAACTATTTTAGAACTGAGTACATATCAAAGAAAGATATGGGAACTTAGCGGAATATACCTAGTAGTATAAGATATACCAACACTATTTTGTTATATTTTGTTATTAGAGACGTATTTAGTTGGATATGTTTCTAGTCAATCTAATGCGGCAATAATCATGATCGGACTGAATATACCATTATCCGAAAAGTTTTGTTTCCTAGGCCCAGTTTAGATATGAATTTTTTTGCAAAATACAACTGTAGCGCTTTTCGTTGTTATTTGGCAATTAATGTCCAATCATAGTCTAATTAGACTTAAAAGATTCGTCTCGTGGATTTCGTCTAAACTGTGTAATTAGTTTTATTTTTTATTTATATTTAATGCTTCATGCATGCGTCCAAAGATTCGATGTGACGGTGAATTTTGAAAAATTTAACAAAATAAAGTGGAACTAAACAGGGCCCTAGAGGTATTTTGGTGGATTCACTGAATATTGTGAAATGGGCAGAATCATTTCTTAGTACTGAGAATCTTATTGTTCTAACAATTGTACTAGCACTAGGGCCAGATAATGCTAACAAGTGTACTAGCACTAGGGTCAGCCTATTCGGTGGAACAAACGTGGCTAGGGCACGCACAATTCATGCCCACCGGATGCCAAGTACAGCCCGGGCCCACAGCAACTAGGCCGTGCCAATTCTGATGAGTGACAGCTATAGAGCCCTCCTTCGAGAAGGACGACGACAAGACAAGACAGCAGCAGATACTAGGCACCTATAGATCACGGACACGGCACGGTCACGTAACTAAAAAAGGCAAAAAGATTTGCATTCGTCGAAATTTAACTTATAACGCTGATTTATTACGAAAAAAAATATTATTTATTTATTAAAAAGTAGTTCAAGCGAACCGGAGATAAGGATGAACTTTTTAACATGAGCATTTTCTCGTCATACTCACCTCATCTTCATCCGTGGCTAGTAATCCATCTACTGGCATTGGTTTACCTTGCGTGCCAACCGAGCTCCGTGTCACGTTTGTGTTCTGGTCTTGCAAGTAACCACCTACTCAATTTGTTTAGCCAACAACCAGCAGTATTCGGAATGTACTGTACAGTGGAGTACTTCGAAAGCGGTGTGCAACCTACGGTAAAATGCGTTGCATGCAAGGAATCGTTCCCATTGATGACTTCGTAGAGGACCCCATCATTTCCTTGCAAATACGGTAGCCTTTCCGTTTTGGAAAAAAGAAAAGAAAAGCAATGCCCACAACTGTACCAAGGAAAGAGTTTAAGAGCAAAATTCACTGATGTGTATGTCTTCGAACTTGTGTCGTGGTGCTATTTAGCGCGTGTTTAGTTGGACCTCAAATTTTAAAAAGTTGCTACAATACTTGTCATATCGAATGTTTGTGGCCTATGCATAGAATATTAAATGTAGACGAAAAAAAAACTAATTGCACCTAACCGAGGAAGCAAGCGATGACAGTAGTACCACCAACCAAAAGGGATCTGGCTTGGTCAAAGACTGCCCCGTACTACTGCTGGCACTGGTAGGCCATCAATAAGAGCAAGTATAATAAAGCCACATAAGCGGGCTGTATACGAGTCCACGTCAGAAAAATCCTTGCTGGATGAGAGAGAATGAAAGAGAGAGAGACGCGAAAAAAAAAATCGCTTACCGCCCAAGCACCTGAGCACGTTCCAAATGTAGATTAAAAAACGCCTCAATTCCCAGCCGGTGGGAAATTACGAGACGAACGTTTTGAGCCTAATTAGTCCATATTTGAACACTCTTCATTGTAAAAACGAATACGCTCATTGCATTTCAAATTCAAGTTTCTGGAACTAAACACGCGCTTAGATTCTCAAATTTCCTAACCGAGGAAGTAAGCGATGACAGTAGTACCACCAACCAAAAGGGATCTGGCTTGGTCAAAGACTGCCCCGTACTACTGCTGGCACTGGTAGGCCATCAATAACAGCGGGGGGGGGACCAGTGACGCAGTCCCCCATTGCTGCTGCGCTTGACCACGCACGCCAGCATGACAACCACAGCAGCCCTTGAATGCCAGTGCATTCATGAGCTAGTGGTAGTGTAGTGGTGTACCGGTACGTTACGTACAGTACTTGGGTTTGCTTGCACTCCATTCCCTGCCGCCGGCGGCCGGCCCAGTTCACCTTTTTTTTCCCCCTCGGTTGCCCGTTGCACGCCGCTGCTGCCGTCTTGCACTGCAGACAGCACGGAATACGAGTACTACTAGTGCATTCCAACTGGCAGGCCGCAGAGCAGACACGGGTAGCGCTCGTCAGTACCCGCGACGGTTGTCATCAGGCCAGGACAAGTACTCCTCCGAAAAACTCGAACGGACGACCTCGGATCCCCTGACGACACGGCGCGCCAGGCTGGGAACAGTACTCGTACTAGTAGTACTATTCTTCACTGAGAACAAGAACGGGGGCACAGCTTTCGCCGCCGCCGGCCGGCCGGGTGCAGTCGTGCATTCCCCGCAGATCCCCAGCCAAGCGGCCAGACCGCCAGACGCCAGCAGATCACCCGACAGTTCCGGCGCGCGGCGGGGCCTCAGCCACTGCCCGCCTCACGGAATGATCCATTTTGATCCACCCCCAACGCAGAACGCACCGCGCCCCGTCCAACCCGGCAACCCCTGACAAGGCCAAGGCCACAACCTAACGCCCCGCCGAAAAAACACGCAGCCACACCCACCCGACCACGAAATCACACCGTTTCCGCCCCAAAATCACCACCGCGACACGCTGACCGCAGCCAGCCAGCCACGCCCGCGGCCGCGGCCGCGTCTCAGGATCTGCCTGCCTGCCTGGCCGCCGCCGCCGCCGCCTGCCTCCGTCGCGCGGCCCTGCTCTGCCGTGCCGAGCCCCACGTCCACCTGCGCTGCGCCCGCGGCCCAACAGCAACAAAAGAAGGAAACGGGCGCACGTGGACGGCGCCCCCGCCCTCCCCTCTCCCTCTCCCTCTCCGCGTCCGACGTCCGAGCCTTCCTTTCCTTCCTCCCCATCGAGCCAAAAGACTCCCGTCTCTTTTCCCCTCCTTTCTCGCCTCCTCTCCTCCTTTCCTCCTGTTCCCAGCGCCAGTCACCTACCGTGCCGCCCGTCTCCATCCCACGCCTCGCCCCCTCGGATAACTACTAGCTGCCGTACCGTGGGAGCGCCGCCTCTCCAGTCTCCAGTCGCACCAACACCTGCCGCTGCGGCTCTCTCCGGTTGATTCCTTCCTGCGCGGGATTGGCGTCTTCCCGCTCGCCGCCGCGCCGACCGGGTGCACTGCTCCGGATGGGGGCGTCCCACGACGCCGAGGGGGACCAGGAGGCGCGGGGCGCATGGCGAGCCTCCTGGCGGCGCGCCGCGCGCTGCGTGCCGGCCTGGAGAAGTCGCGCGCGCTGAGCCACGCGCTGGCTCCCAGGCTGGAGGCCATCCAGGCGCGTCTCCCCGCCATGGAGGCGTCGGTGCGGCCGATCCGCGCGCCGCGGGAGGCGCTGGCGACGGCGGGGCCCAACATCGACCGCGCCGTGGGCCCCGCCGCCGCCGTGCTCAAGGTGTTCGACGCCGTGCACGGCCTCGAGCCGCCGCTCCTCGACCGCGCCGCCGTCGCCGCCGACCTCCCGGGATACCTCGCCGTGCTCGCGCAGCTCGAGGCCGCGCTCCGCCTGCTCGCCGACAACTGCGGCCTCGCCACGCAGTGGCTGTCGGACATCGTCGCCTACCTCGGGGAGCGCAGGCTCGCCGACGCACGCTTCGTGGCGGGACTCGCCGCCGCGCTCGACCGTCTCAGGGACGATGCCGCCTCCGCCGACCTCGACGCCGGGCTGCTCGCCGCCGCGCTCGACTTGCTCGAGGCCGAGTTCAGGCGGCTGCTCAAGGACCACTCCGCGCCGCTTGCGATGAAGGACCCCGCCGGCGGCGGCTCCGACCCGCCGGCCGTTGTGCCTTCTCGGATCCCTCCCTCTGTCGTGTACAAGCTCAGCCTCATCCTTGACCGCCTCGCTGCCAACGGCCGGCTTGACCACTGCTCGTCGGCGTATGCGGACGCGCGAGGGGATACCGTGAGCGCCAGCCTCCGCGCGCTTGGACTTGATTACCTGAAGGAGACATCGGGGGACGCGCAGGCGCTCAGCCCGAGCGTCGAGCGCTGGGGGCGGCATCTGGAGTTTGCGGTGCACCACCTCCTTGAAGCTGAGAGAAAGCTCTGCGTCGCGGTGTTTGAACGGCGTCCTGAGGCCGCGCCCTTGTGCTTTGCTGAGATTGCAGCTCGTGCTGGCATTCTTGATTTCCTGAATTTCGGCCGTGCCCTGGCTGGTGTCAAAAAGGACCCCATCAAGCTATTGCGGCTGCTTGATGTGTTTGATTGTTTGAACAAGCTGAGGCTGGACTTCAACCGATTGTTCGGTGGAAAGGCTTGTGTAGAGATCCAAAGCAGGACTAGGGAGCTTGTCAAGACGGTCGTGGATGGTGCTGTTGAGATCTTTGAGGAATTGCTTGTTCAGGTGGAGCTGCAGCGCAATTTGCTGCCGCCAGTTGATGGTGGAGTGCCACGCATAGTGAGCTTTGTCGCCAAGTACTGCAATCAGCTTCTTGATCAGCCGTATCGATCTGTGCTGACACAGGTGATCACCATCCACCGCAGCTGGCGCAAAGAAGTGTTCAATGACAAGATGCTGGTTGAGGCAGTGCTTAGTATCGTTAAGACACTAGAGATAAACTTTGATACATGGTCAAAGGCTTATGGAGATTCGACACAGTCATCTCTCCTCATGATGAACATACACTGGCACTTCTTCAAACACCTGAAGGGTACAAAGCTGGGTGAGCTGTTAGGCGATCCATGGCTCCGGGAGCATGAACAGTACAAGGATTACTACTCAGCAATGTTTCTGAGGGAGAGCTGGGGAACACTTGCACCCCTGTTGAGCAGGGAGGGCCTGATCATGTTCTCCAAGGGCCGGGCTACTGCAAGAGATTTAGTGAAACAGAGGCTCAAATCATTCAATGCTAGCTTCGATGAGATGTTTCAAAAGCAGTCTAAATGGGTGATATCAGATAAGGATTTGCAGCAGAAGACATGCCACCTCGTGGTGCAGGCTATAGTGCCTGTTTACAGGAGCTTCATGCAGAACTATGGGCCGCTTGTTGAGCAGGACGTTAGTGCGAGCAGGTATGTGAAGTACAGCGCTGATGATTTGGATAAGAAGCTCAACACACTCTTCCTGGCCAAGCCAGGCAGGCCAATGAGAGCTGGAAGTTTCCAGATCAAGAATTCGGATGACAAGATTACCAGTGCAATGACCGGATTGTATCGGAGTGCTTCTACTCTGAAGTAGCTTCAGTGGGAGTTTGGAAAGACTGAACGCACAATTTGTGCAATAAGCCAATAACTTGGTAGGCAAGGATGATTTGGGCCAGTAAGTGAAGATCCCCACTTATGTGGGGGATGCAATAATGGTCCCATGATTAGAACAGCTGGAGCATAAGAAGAACATAAAACTCTTCCAGAACTGACATTGTGGGGGAGAAGATGACAGGAGTGTTTCCTCAGAGGGTCTCCTTCCCCTCGATCATCTTTTCACCATCTATTGCATTCTTATCTGTAGCAAGTATACTCAATTCATTTTAGGAACTTGTGTGGGAGCAGAGGATGTGTAATCAGTTATCTGGTACATGTTAGTAGATTGGTTGTATTATAGGAGGTGTGTTTCATATGGTTATGGTATACTATGTTTTAGATCTTATGAACACGCAGTGAATTATATGGTATAACTGGTGGCGAATGGAAATTACAGCAGTTAATTATATGGGACAGAATACTGTATTTTCCCTTTCCAAATTTCTATTGCCACACTTACATTTTCCTTCCTCTTTTATGGAATGGTTTACTTTTTGATCTGTTGTTTGACCTTTGATGTTGTGATGTACAGGAGCATGCAGTTGTATAGGAGTATAAGCTTACTACCTTTTATGCTCATGGATTGCCGACTATATGCATAACACTGTGCCATTAAACTGATACTATCTACTGAGAAAAGAAAATGGGATAACCAAAATTCATACCCTTGGTGTCATTGGTAATCATGTATTAATTTCTATGGCCTTGTGACACATATTGTTGCAAATGTAGTTCTGTTTGATATGCAATATGTGCCTACTTGGTTAGTATGTTCAGTTGTAATCAGATTAGAGGCTAAATAGAGAGAAAAAAGGAATTTTAAACTTGACTACTTACATAGAACAAATATCACCATACCTGAGTATTAAATGATTTTCCCTCTCCGATTGTTAGCATCTCAGATCAGATTATTTGAAATTCTTGTTTTCTTGGACAAGCAATAGGTTGCAGGTCTGAATGCATTGCTTGATTCTGTATACCCTGATCCTAGAAATGCTGCCACAGATGCTTTACCTGCACCATTTTCTGTAGCCAATTTGCACCTTGTAAAAACGAAATTGTGTGCACTTCGCAGGGCTGCATCAAAATCAAGCAGGCGTGGCGCATGCCGCCATGTGACTGATAAGGAAACTGCCTGAACCCTGACAGCGGCTTCAGGTTCCAGAAGATGTGAAAGATGATAGAAAGTTAAACACTGATATGCACATTTTGATTATCTATTTAGCGAGGGGATGCGAAATTTCAGTTTCCTTTTCAACCTATAGATAGAACTGGATAGGATTGCATGTTTAAGCAGTGCAATGCATTGCATTTCTTACATGAGGCAATTGTACTGCAGTAGTAGTAGTATAGTATTGTCTATAATCATCATTCCATCACTATCAGCCATGCACTCAACCACCCCGCACCGTCACAGATGGGGAGCTGCAGGTGCGGCGCTTCATCATAAACAGAAGATGGCAACGGGCATAAACCCACCGAGGCTTTGTTTAGCTGCACACAAATCCACAAATCCACGTGATTTAAGAGAAACCTCTCAACGCATATGGATTGAGATGGATTTGCAACCAAACAAGCCCTGAGCTATGTGCCCTTGAAATTTGGACGGCAACCATCCCTCCTATTTTATAGTATACCTAGCCACGAGTGCTCTGCTCTACTAGCGAGGTGGAACAAATTTGATTCCTTGAGATTAAAAAAAAAAAATGATTCCTTGCGTCGCAGAGTGTCAAAGCAGCAGGATGCAACAGCGCCGGCTTGCTCCTAGCTTTCTTCGTGTGGGCCAATAGCGCTGGTTTGGCCCAATAGCGTTGGTCTGTGAGCTCTCACGTTGAGTAGCCAAACTAGTTTTCATTTCTTTCATGTTTCATGTTTTTTTAAAATTTTGTTTTCAAAAGTAAATAATGGAAATTAAATTAATATTCCGTAGCACTATGTCATGTAGATACGCTTCTACGATGGATCGGGTTTAAAAATTCATGGGTTTGTGGGTTTTGGTGCTATACTCCCGGACCAAGTCTACAAATTCGCTGGACTTTTTCTCATTAACAAACCCACGGGTAGAAAATTTGACCCATACCTTTACCCTAATAATAGAGTAAAAACCCATCAGGTTTCGGATTGCGGGAATCATGAGTCCCTCCTACTCCTGTAGTCCTGTCCAACTCCTTGGCTCGGCTAGGTGACATTTTACTTGAGCCTATGGATGAAAACGGTACGGATATTTATTCGACCGTCCGTTCGACCGAACAAATATGAACACTTATCTGGATAGTTACTCGGATATCCGTATTTTTTTTCGGATACGGATACTAAAACGGATATCTTAGACGGATATCAAATACGGATGTAATATCATCGATATCCAAATGGATACGGATAATCATAAGATCGATATATCCCGGATATTTAAAAACGGATATTATCCAAGCTAACGACCTTAGATGGAGAAATGATCAAAATAAAATGGTAGATCTCAAAAAGTTATGAAACTTTGTTGTTTACAACTTTTTCGTTTGAAATCATTTAGTGCTTCAAAATTTAAACCGAAACTTTCTCAAATGGAAAATTAGTTTATAGCGGCTAAAATTTAAAAATCACAAATTTGAACCATCCAAACTATCTCAAATAGAAAGTTGACCAAACAACAATTGTAGATCTTGATGAGTTGAACAAACTTGGTATTCAAAACTTTTCAATTTGAAGTCATTTAGAGTTCATAATACTAGAGTCAAAGTGTTGTTTTTTCATTTGACCAAATTTAACTTGGTCAAACTTGCTCAAATGAGACACTAAATGACCTCAGATGAAAAAACTCTAAATATCAAGTTTGATCATCTCAGCAAGATCTACAATTATTACATAGCTCATTTTCCCATTTGAGAAAGTTTTATCAAACACTAGTCACAAATTCTTGAATCTCATATAGACTTTTTGAAACTATGTCACACACTTGTGAAATTTGAACTATATTTTGTTTAAACTTTCTCAAATGAAAAAATGACCTATATAAGGATTGTATATCTTGATGAGATGAACAAATTTGGTATTCAAAACTTTTCAATTTGAGACAATCTATGGTTCCGAAAACTAGTTTGTAAACATCAAAATTTAAAAATCACAAATTTGAACCGTCCAAACTATCTCAAATGGAAAGTTGACCAAAACAACAATTGTAGATCTTGATGAGTTGAACAAACTTGGTATTCAAAACTTTTCAATTTGAAGTCATTTAGAGTTCATAATACTAGAGTCAAAGTGTTGTTTTTTTATTTGACCAAATTTGACTTGGTCAAACTTGCTCAAATGAGACACTAAATGACCTCAGATGAAAAAACTCTGAATACCAAGTTTGATCATCTCAGCAAGATATACAATTGTTACATATCTCATTTCCCATTTAAGAAAGTTTTATCAAACACTAGTCACAAATTCTTGAATCTCATATAGACTTTCTAAAACTATGTCACACACTTGTGAAAATTTGAACAACATTTTGTTCAAACTTTCTCAATTGAAAAATGGCCTATATAAGGATTGTAGATCTTGATGAGCTGAACAAACTTGGTATTCAAAACTTTTCAATTTGAGACAATCTAGGGTTCCGAAAACTAGTTTGTAAGCATCGAAATTTAAAAATCACAAATTTGAACCGTCCAAACTATCTCAAATGGAAAGTTGACCAAAACAAGAATTGTAGATCTTGATGAGTTCAACAAACTTGGTATTCAAAACTTTTCAATTTGAAGTCATTTAGAGTTTATAATACTAGAGTCAAAGTGTTATTTTTTTATTTGACCAAATTTGACTTGGTCAAACTTGCTCAAATGAGACACTAAATGACCTCAGATGAAAAAACTCTGAATACCAAGTTTGATCATCTCAGCAAGATCTACAATTGTTACATAACTCATTTTCCCATTTGAGAAAGTTTTATCAAACACTAGTCACAAATTCTTGAATCTCATACAGACTTTCTAAAATTATGTCACACACTTGTGAAATTTGAACTACATTTTGTTCAAACTTTCTCAAATGAATAAAATGGCCTATATAAGGATTGTAGATCTTGAATCCATGACCATGACTCCATGAGACCCATGAAGCCATGAGCTTGGCTATTTCTACTCATCTTGCATGAAGATTGGTGCTTGTATGATGTTTGATGTATGATGTATCCGTATCTTTATCTTATTTGTTGCTTTACTCTTTAATCTTTCGGCTTAATCTAGATGGATTATGGACTCATAGAGTGGTGTAATGGTTTAAAATATATATATATATATATATATGATGCTTTTACTCAATATCCGAATAGATATTTGTATCCGACCTTCTTCGAATCCGATTCATACCGTATTCGATACTCATTATTCGTATCCGTAACCGAGTCAATCCGTATTCGTATATGTATCCGAACGCTATCCGTGTCCGAATCCGAAACCGAACAGAAATATGAAAACAAATATAATATGAGTGATATCCGTTCGTATCCGATCCGTTTTCATCCCTACTTGAGCCACACGGGCCTCGCAGGGTGGCCTATTGGTATGGGCTCGATTGACACGGTGCCCACGAGACAACGACGATGATAAGCCAAGCTAGCCCACGAGAAAAACGAACAGAAGTCCTTTTACCATGTTAATCGATTTGAGGAAGTGAGCGGCTTGCACTCAGTGCCAAACACCCGATCGTTGAGCTTCAAGTTGAATTGGGTCTGACTTTGGGGTTTGGCTAAGAGAAATGCCGTTGTTATCGTCTCCAAGAGTTTGCTATCTCAACTTCGCATCCATATAATTTTGGCAAAACAAGAAAAATAGCCTCCAACAGTTTGGCAAAACAACTTGGCATCAATAGCAACTTGGCAAATCTTCCCTCACATACAAGATAAATATACGCTGCAGATATCAAATTTGGCATCCGGGGCTCTTCGTTTCT